CAAAAGGTGGAAACAACCCCAGTGTCTGTCAGCAGATGGATGGATAAACCAACGTGGTACATCCAAACAACAGAATACTATTCAGCCTTTAAAAGGAATGAAGTTCTGACACATGCTGCAACATGAATGGTCTTTGAAAATATTATGCTAAGTGCAATAAGCCAGACACAAAAGGACAAATATTATATGATTCCACTTATATGAGGTACCTAAAATAGGCAAATCCATTGAGACAGAAAATATATTAGGGATTAGCAGAGGCTGGGGGGAGCTGGGAGGGGGGATGAGGAGTTATGAATTTCTGTTTGGGATGATGAAAATGTTCTGGAAACGTATAGTGGTGGTGTTGCACTGCACCATGAATGTACTTAATCCCACTGAACTTTACACTTAAAATAGGTTAAATGGTCAATTTTATGTTATGCATATTTTTCCACAACAGAAAAATGTGCTATGTATATGGAGTGTTTAGCACATACTGGTCCATTGCAGTTTGGGTCAAAGAATGTTCCATGAATGAACTGTTTTTATGTCTGGCCTACCCTTTCCTTCTTCAGAGAGAAATCTGCCCCACTCTGCAAGCCTGAGAACTTTGAATTTATGAGTTTGTCTGTCCTGGAGCATTTCTTGACATCTTGAGTCCTTCCCACCATACCTGGCTCTCCTATGGACACTGCCTGTCACCACACAGACCCCCAAATCAGAGACTACTCCATAGGGTGAGGCCCCCTCCTCACTAGAACCAGAGATAAGATGGCACAGCAAGGTTTCCCTTCCCCAGCCGTCCTGCCCTTTTGGTTTCCCTAAGGCTACTTCACTAGGCTGTAGGGGGGGAATCATTTCAAGTAAAATTATTGTAGAGGAGAGGAAAAGCTAAAGATCAGGGTAAGTTAAGTTTTCCTGGAGTCCGCAGTAGAAAGAACCCCACAAGGATCCACGTCTTGCCACCCCCACTGTGTACTCTGGGCCTCTGGCTCTCAAACCATCTCTCCTAGGGCTTCCTTCTTCAAGTCTCTGAATGTTACCCCCCCTCCCCTCCCCACCCCCAGTGGCCACCGTTACATTGAGTGCCTCCAGTCTGAGTCATTCTCTCTGGAGTTGGGCCCAATGGTGGGTGATACCTGTTGCCACCCACATCTCACAGAATAGCTGGATCCCTAGGACAGTAGTGGATCTGGATCCTCTAGGTCTAATTTTCTTTACTATAAGCTCCAGTGAGAGCTGTAGGGACGGTGGTTCCTTTAAGTGGCTGACCTGTAAGATTAAGCACAGGCTTATTTCTCAACCACAGACATTACATTTCAGGTTCAATACAGTTTAAATACAAAGAAAACATTTCCTCAAGTAACAGGGCATCTCATCCCTACTTCGGAGCCTCAAACCCTGATCAACTTTGTAGCTAATTTCCTGCTCCTCTGGAGGGTCTACCCTCCTCCTGTCACCCATTAGTGGTAGAAGTTGTCATTTTCCAGGAAGAGCTCCAGACTCAATAGAATTTTTCACTTATTTCTGAAAGCTCCTGGGGATGAGATGTAGCTGCCCATTTTTTTCTTGCACTATTATTATTGTTATTGCAAATCACAGGGAAAGAAAAGTTTATTTGGCAAGTGGTATTGTGACAATTAGGCAATTATTTAGAGGAAAAAAATAGCTACCTTCTTTCTTATACCTAATACCCTAACACTAAAGTCAATTCCAAATGGATTAAAGATTTGGGTGTTAAAAGAGAAAGGAATTATATGCACTAAAAGAAGAGATTTAAGCTTCTAAAAGGCATGCCACCAGCAGTGGATAGCTTCTACCTAACTTCTGATTGAAATATCCACAAAGATGCATACACAGAAAAAGACAAATCTATTAATACTAAAAGATGAAGACTGACAGGTAAATGCCAAAATATAGTAGAAACTGAGTCTGATTTTATGGCAGGTGCAGCGGGACCAGCATGGAGAGGTCTCTCTTGCTTTCGGCTCATGATAGGAAGAACCACCCCCTGACGAAAAGGGACGAAGAAGCTATGGCCAACTCCCACCACCTGCCTCTTCACCAGAGACCAGGGACCCAGAAAACTGGGCAGACGGCTCTCTAGAGCAGTGGAAAACTTTAGAAATATACCAATCTGCAGACACCATTCCAGACTAATTACATCATAATATTCAGGGGAAGCACGCAAGCATGGGCATTTCTAACGTGTAGCCACATTGATAACCAGCCTTGCATATATTCTTTTCAGAGTCTATTCTGTACAGCAGGTAGGGAGGTCAGGAGAATCTGTCCTTGCCCATTTTGGCCACCTTTTATCTTTTGTGACATTCCCTCCTTCCCTATCATCTGGGATGCCCCTCTTTGCTGTTTCTTCTCCTATAATTTTGACTGCACTTCTTTGGTTTTCAACACTACCATCTTACTTCTATCCGATCCTTAAATATTGATCTTCCCAGAGCTTGGTCTCTTGAAATATTCTCCTTTATTGAAAATTTCATCCAGTTCCAAGACTTTATCTGACACGTAGGAGCTGAAGACTTCCATTCCTAGAAGCTAGGGTGGGCATTTTCTCCTCCACGACCGTATTCCAGGAGTGTACACCCATCCCACTGATGGAGCCCTACCCAACCCGACCCAGGATAACTGGAGGAGGTCTTGATGAGGTGGGAAAAAGAGAGTGACTTTCTTTTCTTAATGTAATGGCACAGGGGTTATGTGAAGAAGTAGCATTGTGAAGTTCCATCCAGCCTGAACAATCCATCCCCTCCTTCAATAGTTAGGATGTAATACAAGACCAGGGGCCAAGAGAAAGAAGGAAGACCAGGGACAGGAGAAAGAGGAAAGTAGAACATAGCAGAGGTCTCTCTACTGCCCACTAAACGTGGGCTTGAACAAGCTAGTGGGGAGACTGAAAAGAAAAAGAAAGAGCAATTTGGGGCCATCTCTTGATTCTATATATTCCCGGCTACCTAATAGTAACATTTTTCCAGTGGTGAACTGCATCCTTTTCACAAATAATGACATCTGCATTTCCAGCTCAGATCTATCAAGTTCCTAATTCCCTCCTGATGACCCAAATCCCTCCTTCTCTCCCTCCTTAATCTGCTTCTTGCCTACCACTGTGAATGGAACTGTCATACAGAACCTGGTATGGGTTAAATTGTGCCCCCCCCCCAAATTTATATGTTAAAGTCTTAAGCCAAAAACATCTGAATGTGACGTTATTTGGAAATAGGGTCATTGCAGATAGAATCTGTTCAATTAAGATGAGGTCTTTAGGTTGCACCCTAATCCAGTATGACTGGTCTCCTTATAAAAAAGGAAATATTGGACACAGAGACACACAGAGGGAGAACATCATGAGAAGATGAAGTCAGAGGTCAGGTGATTCTTTTATATGCCAAGGAACACCAAAGATGACCAGCAACCCCCCAGAAGCTAGATGAGAGGCACAAAACAGATTCTCTCTCACGGTCCCCAGAAGGAACCAACTCTGATGACACCTTCCAACCTTCAGAACTGCAAGACGATAAATGTCTGTTGTTTAAGCTACCCAGTTTGTGTCACTTTGTTACGGCAGCTCTAGCAAACTAATACACTGACCAGTGAAGATTTACTTTCCATCTCTCACCCCCACATGCAATGACTAGATCCTGTCTGGTTAACCTTCTAAGTTCAGCCTCTACTCTGTTTCCACTGCCTCTGTAGGTGTATTGGGTAATTGGGTAACCTGTTAAGCACCACCTTAGGAGAAGATAGAAAGGGACTTAGCTGACTGAATGGAGCAAGGATAGATCAAAGCTGGTGTGTGAGAGAGAGGGCCAGGGATTCGAAGGGGATGTAGACATGGTAGGGCTGGCAGGCAGAGGGTGGGGGTGCTTCTAGCTGTGGGTGAGATAAACACCAACTTACCACTTGGTTGGGAAATGCTGAGACCACAGAGGCTGCATCGAATGTCAAAGGGTGCGGCCGGCTAGAAGCCGGGGTTCCCCTGACTCTGTCCCCATGGTGGACTGCAGGGCTGGGCTTTTGCCTGGGGTGTGTGTGAGGGGCTCAGTGGAGATCTTGGGGAGACTTTTGCTACTGGGTTCCCCTAGGCAGGGCGGCACCATCCACATCCCGAGGCAGCAGCTTCCTGAGGCTGCAGGCGGGGGTTCCTTTCAGCAACTGCAACCCCCTCGGGCAGGTTTGCTGAGGAGCGGCCACGTTCCGGTCCCACACGCGTGAGCCGAGCAGCGCCTGGCGGTCCCCAGCCCCAGCTGCAGCTCCGCCTTCACACCCAAGCGTTCGGAGCTGGATTCTAGACTTCAGGGTCAAGCAACGAGAGACCCGGAATAAGGCAGCTCCCCGGGCTCCCAGCAGGGCTGCAGCAGCTGCGCCTGCCTTCCTGTTACCCCGCCCCCCCTCACCCCTCGGCCTCCCGCTCCCCGACCACTGCCCTGCCCAGCCTCCTCCTGCCTGCCCCGCCCCCTCACCCCTCGGCCTCCCGCTCCCCGACCACTGCCCTGCCCAGCCTCCTCCTGCCTGCCC